TGTTAGCTCATGTGCTAAGTAACACGACGTCATTGGTCATCATTATAGAGGGTGTAGCAGGTATAGTGAGATCCGCACATACCAAGGACGGAGGACATGATAGCCATGCAAGGGCGCTCCCGCTGTCCGTTCGGGTTGCGAACTCGGAGGACCTTCAACGGGGGAAGGCGAATTGGCTTCTGAGATGCCGACATATTGAAAGATCGAATGCGGCACCCGACCGTAGATTAATGCCGTCAATCAAAAATCGCGTGGGTCGAAGTTGAGGCTTTTCGTACTGGCAGAAAAAGAAAGGTTGGATCTAACGGAAAATGGACGATCACGTGTCAGATGGGGATCGGGTAGGATCAATGCGGGCGGAACGCGTCTGTGTGGAGTCTAACCTGATCTAGAACTGTTCCCTGCCCAGGCTTGCGTTCCATTCAGACGCTTGTCTCGAGGCTTATTTTTTTTACTTACGCTCCAAGTTCCAAGCAAACCCAACCTGCAATCTGCATAGCATCTGATAATTTTGGTCACGGTCCACACTACTGGACATGAGATGAGAAGGGTGATGTGAAGCTTGCATGTGCATGACATGGCCATACCCGTCCCTTAGGCCTGTTAATCGCATGCTCTGATTGGCATACCATGTCGTACACGTAATCCCCGTATGTTGCATTTCCGATACCATCGAATCACAGACAAGGGAGTGACCTTGTCAAGGCTTGCTTACACGAAATCGATTGCACCGAAATTCTGGCCGCGACATCGGCGTCTCCCTTTGTGGGATTTGGCCGCCGTTGGTTGCTCAGAAATAGTAACGAACTCTCAAGCTAGAACGCCTTAGGGGCCTACACTACACATCATTCAAGTCTCTTTTGAAGATCTCGAATCGAACGATTCGTTACCAACTTCTATAGTTTCATAGATTAGTCTAGATGCCAAGGCCAACTTGGATGGCTTGGACAGCTTGTCGTCAGCAAAATTTTCTAGTAGGCCGTCTACTGCGAGCTTGCCCCGTGGTTGGTGTTGGTACCAGATCGTCTATACATATAGTGATCAGTGATCGTCAAAGAGATCTTGGCGTAGCTGCTACTTGAGGTATCTTGATGTCATGAGCTGTGTTCAGCTCGCGCTTAACGCCCTCGGTCTGGCCATAGCATGTCTCGCTTCTCACTGCAAGATCCAGCACAATTAGTTGTTTCCGTTCGGGTCGTACGAGAAGTCGCGCAGAACTAAAGGATTTTAAACGTCAAAAACCTCTCTCACGTCTCCACCCGCCATGGTCTCGACGTAATCGTTGTCCAGACTATTGGAACTCGCCAACAAGATGAAAAGTACGATGCCCCTTGTTAGTCTGTTTGTTAGTTGACTTTGGTCACGCTTCGATCCTCGGCTGATGGATACTGATTGATAAGATAATTTTCGTGGCTCCCGTTTTTTTGCATATCTGATCGGCTAGTGAACCTAATCAAGCCTAGCTTGGCAAAGTCCCTTTGGATGTGGGCCGTTAGCGTACCTGGAATGCCCGAAGAACCTTCCCCGTTTGGAGCTGAATTTTCATCAACTCACGCAACCACACCTTCTTCAGGATTCACCTTCTCAGCTCATGTACAAGCATATGATCGCTTGTAATTTGGTGTTACGTAATTAGAAATTCCACATTGTAGTGTTTTTCAATATGAAGGAAGGCAGTGGACCGTGAGATTTCAAGCATAGTTTTCTTTTAGCTTCGAAGCAGCGATCTAGGAACAGTATTCCCTTTCTTGGTATGGTATGGTTGTCGCTTGATCAATTGCTGAATTTTTTGATCGCTTTGGCTCTTTGGCTTGTCGTTATGTAGACTAGCTCTACTGGCAACAGGATGCTCCCTCCACTCTAGTCGCGATGCAACAACCCCACTCTTTTAGCTACATTGATGGCCAGACCCAAGATCAAGGTTAGGTTTATGGCTTTCCCGCGTACCTTCCTCTATTATACCTGTACAGTTCTTGCTCGGGTGCGCCCCGAATAAAAGGGCAAGACATGACCACCTGAGATTATCTCCCACTTCTTCATCCAGCCACCATTCTTCAGAGTTCTCGGCCGAGTATATTTTTGTATGCATATTGGTATACAATAATATCTCAGGCGCGTCCTGCAATTGTTCAAATAGCTGGCCGTCCCCCGCGCTACCCCAGGACTGAATCCTTCTCGAGTTCAGTCGGTTGACACAAACCGCGCTGCGTCCACAGCATTTTCAACTTGATCCATAGAGTATTGGGTGCTCAAGTTAAAAGTCAAAATGAGAGGACCGCTCGCTCGATTCACCCACCCTACCGAGGTGCCGGTGGAAGAGAAAACCCGCAACGAAACCGACAAGGAGACTGGGGTTCTCGATAATCAGACTCCCAATAACGAAAACGACAGCGACCCCGAATCTATCGACCACAATGCTCAGGCCGGTGTCCAGAAGATTGAGGCCACAACCAAAGTCTGGTCAAAGTCCAATCTTATAATGGCGTATATCTTGTAAGTCGCTACTAATCGATAATTTCTATATTCATTAGAATCCATAGACTAATAATTATAGCATCTGGATCATCTACTTTGTCGACTCCATGCAACAGGGAATGGGCTCTCTTTTAACCCCATACGTCACCAGCGCTTTTGCCCTTCACTCGCTAACTGCCACTACTGGCGTTATGTCTGGTATCATTGGTGGTGTTTCGAAGCTCACTCTTGCCAAAATCCTCGACATTTGGGGTCGTCCCCAAGGTTTCATGGTAGTCGTTCTCCTGTTGACTCTTGGTCTTGTCATGATGGCGGCATGCAATAACGTCGAGACTTATGCGGCTGCACAAGTCTTCTACTGGGTCGGGTAAGCACTGGTTTTCCTAGCTGTTTCATTAAGCCATGTACTAACTTGTTGCAGATACAATGGAATCAGCTACTCCTTGTCCGTTTTCATTGCCGATACCTCGCACTTGAAGAACCGAGGTCTAATGCTGGCCTTCATCTCCTCGCCATACATCATTACTGTCTGGATCACTAGCCCTATGGCACAGAGTGTGCTCGAGGGTATTGGCTGGAGATGGGGTTTCGGTATTTTCTCCATCATCACACCAGTCATGTGCCTGCCTCTATTCTTCCTGTTCACCTGGAATTATCACAAGGCAAAGAAAGCTGGATTGATCGTCTATACCCCCAGCGGTCGAACTTTCTGGGAAAATGTCAAATACTACTTCTGGCAGTTCGACATCATCTGCCTTATTCTGGTCTCCGGTGGTTTTGCGCTCTTCCTACTCCCTTTCAACATCTACTCCTATCAGTACTACGGCTGGAGAGACCCCTTGACTATCTGTTTGATCATTTTTGGCGGTCTGCTCTTAATTGGAGCTGTTGTTTGGGAGAGGTTCTTTGCGCCCGTCAAGTTCATGCCTTGGGAGCTCCTGAAGGACCGAACTGTCCTCGGCGCCTGCATTCTCGCCGCTGTTCTCTTCGTCGAATACTATGTCTGGACCGCTTACTTCTCGTCGTTCCTCCAGGTTGTCCTCAACCTTAACGTGACCCAGACTGGTTACATCAACAACATTTACAGTCTTGGGTCGTGCTTTTTCTCCTTCATCGTAGGTTTCGCGATCCGCTACACTGGTCGCTTCAAGTGGGTCGCTATGTACTTCGGTGTGCCGCTCACTATTCTGAGCATTGGTCTACTTATTCACTTCCGACAGCCCGGTACCCATCTTGGTTGGATTATCATGTGCGAGATCTTCTACGCTTTCGCCGGTGGCGCATGTGTCATCGCCGAGCAGATCGCCGTCATGGCTGCAGCAGCCCACCAGCACGTCGCCGTTGTCCTTGCTATGGAGGGCATGTTCAGTAGTGTGGGTGGTGCCATCGGAGGAACCATCTCTGCTGCTATCTGGACCAGTACCTTCCCCAAGGCCCTGGCTAAGTATCTTCCCGCGGAGTCCCAAGCCAACCTTACTGCAATTTACGGCCAGCTACCCGTTCAACTCTCGTACCCCGTTGGCTCACCGACCAGAGACGCTATCATCAAAGCCTACGGCGATGGTCTGAGGTGGATGTTCGTTGCTGCTACAGCCATTACTGGGCTGGGTCTCGTGTGCGTCGCTGCCTGGAGGGACATCAAGGTCAAGAACTTGAAGCAGGTAAAGGGTAATGTATTCTAATATGACTTAATACGGGACTCGAAGCATTTGCTCCGGTGAAAACGAAGAAAAGGGTTTGGATAGGATAGGAGTTGAATAATTGGTGTCTGGGGATGCATTGGCTGGTGTATTAGAAATGAGCAGACGAGTCTAAGATGTAGGATGGATGATATAGACTTATGATACCTGCTGGTTCTCTGAATCATGCTTATTAGAATCTATCTAATAATGTTAAAAATATGACCTCTTAATCAGATACTATTAAACTGGTCAAAGTATAGAAAGTATGATATTTCGTCCTTAACTCCGAGAGCCTTTGTTACACTAAGATGGGTCTAACGTCCTTCCTTTCGGGCGAATATCAGACTACCTAGCGCACACTCCTAAGATATAACCGAACTTTTCAAGGCTGTCCGTGACTTGCCATGGATGGTCATGATCTTCATGGTGGTCCTACTGCGCGTGACGGAAATAATTAGGGGTTTGGTTGTATTTCTTGTTGGGTCCTCACACAAAACTCCTCAGTCTTTCGGCCGCGACAACTCTTCACTGGGTAGAATTCGTCCTGTTTAGGCACTAGCTAATACGATTCCAAAGAGACATATCTCGCCCATAAGATAGGTCAGACTCAACAATTGCGTTCCTTTGAGGGATTATCTTGGTCACACTACTACGTATGACATGCAGGTCATGTATCAGAATCCACTTCGTTGACGTCCCACTCCGGGTACGCGGCTAACTACCTATACCCACAGCACCGGTATCCAAATAGGTCGAGCGCAAGCATCTATATGTGATTTTAGCTCGGGTAAATTTTCATGACAGCTCCACCGCACGACAATCACATCGCTAAACGATATATATTCTCGATTGGTCTAGTGGTCAGGATACCTGCTTGTCATCCATCTCCATGATTCATTTCTTATGAGGTTAAATTCGCAGGTGGCCGGGGTTCGATTCCCCGATCGAGAGTACTACACAGTGTGTTCTTTTTGTGTGTATGGCTGCATGGTTATATTTTATTGGTAGGTAGGGACTAAGTTTTGTCACCGAGAAGGGCGCTTACTAGTTGCACATCTCGAGTTCCTTTTTTTGGTATTTATTATCTCAGCTTCTACTCTAGGACTAGCAAGCTTGATGCCGTCATATCGATGCGCCGGATAGGTACCTAAAGCTAAGTGGCGGCAACATCATTTCGTCCTGTCAACTGCGAAACCCAGACGACAACGAGAGAGGTATTCAGATTGTTTGTGGCAGAGTCAGAGTCACAATCGTGCTAGTAACATGGCGTCATGGATAGCAATTATATACTAAACTGCCAGTTCACATATAACAGAAAAGTTTGTTATTTCTACGCGGTATACGGATTAGGCAATTGATTGTTTGAGTGTACCCGTGCAAAGACGTAATATTGGGCTTGAGCAGGGTTTCCATAAGCCTTATACTAGATAAACATCAAGTATGGCTTCTCTAAGTAGCATCTGGATTCTCTAATTGCTATTAGCTTTTTCAAGTCCTGATAAAACACAGCCAGGGCTGGACATCATGAAAATTTATGACGAAATTGTCAATATCAAGCCGATTTTAATCATCTATCCTTCGGATGTAACCTTCGTGTTAGGGATAAGGGCAGGGCTTGCTAAGTCGCGCGCAAGGCAGAAACAGCGGATAGATAATTTTGGAGGCTTACCGTGAGGTCTAGATCGTCTCTATGGTTATTCTCTAAGAGATCCCTTGATTATAGCCTTCTGTTGAATCAAACAGCTACGTAGAAGCTAATGGTTATTGGGATGTCATCGGCGAAAGTGATGACTCTCGTTGTTTGCATGAAGCTACCGTAGCGGCAACCTACCTATAGTGAGAATAGTTAGGTATCTTAGGTTTTCAGTTTGCGGCAAAGGGTCCTATTGTGCTAATGGTTTGCGAACTGTCGGAACGGCTGTGTTCCGCTTCAATTTGCGCCTTTGACTTTACTTTCGGGCAGATTCCTATTCCGGGGGGGGGGGGGGGGAAGGATTCTTCGCCCTGAAGGTAGCTTGCAATCAGAATTCCGCAGAAATATATATGTGGAAGATTACCCAAGATTTTGGCCTTTGCCGGAGGGTATGGCATTCCGTAGTAGTTGACGAAGATAGAACACCATGACGGCAACAGTTTTCATCACAGGAGGTACCGGGCCGGTAGGCTTCCGCATTCTCCTCGAAGCTCTTGCCGCAGGCCATAATGTGCGTTATGCGGCACCATCCGAGAAAATAGCCCAGATAGTTTCCGGGAACCCTAAAATCCAGGCACGTAAACTTGGAGACCGCCTTTCCCCGTTCATCATCCCTGATTTTACCGCTAAGGGGGCCTTCGACATTGCCTTGAAAGGCGTCACGCATATCATCGACGTCAGGCCGCTCGTACCCCATCCCGACACCCACATAGTCTTCCAGACCATAGTAAAGACATTGGAAGAGATATTGTCATCCGCGCTCAAGACGCCCAGTATACAGCGCATCGTTTTCACCTCATCCATCATGGCAAACGCCGGCTATACGCCGTCATGCGCCTCTACGCGGTTGCCACTATCTACCGTCACCTCCTTCAAGCACCCCGGGGAGGCGTTCGTGGCGGCCATGATGGTCGCCTTGAAACGCGCGGACGAATTCGTTGAGACGCACAAGCCTCATTTCACCGTTTCCCACGTGCTGGTAGGTCAGGTGGTCGGCCATAACGAGCTCGCGCTCGACGCGGAGATGGCCGCGAAGGGAAGTAACAATTTCCTGTTGATGATGATCCTGGGCATGGAGGCGCCAGGTCCGATCCCCGGGAATTATGCACACATTGACGACGTAGCAGAAGTCCATCTGCGTGTGGCGTTCCTTGACCCAAAGGAAGGTGAACCTAAGGATTTTGGAGTCGCGACGAAGGCGGACTACAGTGAAATATTTGATATTATTGAGAGAGCGATCCCGAAACAAGCTGCTGATGGGTTGTTTAAAAAGTCCAAGGTACCCACGGTGTCTGTCGAATATGACACGAGCGAGACGGAGAAATTGTTGGGGAGGAAATTCAAGAGCTTTGAAAGTGCGGTGGTGGATATGGCGAGAGGGTATATCGAGCTTGTGGAGCGATCCAAAGCAGCGCCTAAGCCACCAGTTACGTCGGTTTAAATGCCATTTGGCTCGTTTCGAACATCAAGGCGTGGGGCATTAGAATAGGAATGATAATGTAGTCTAATTTATGTCACGAGACAAATTTGAATTGTTCTAGAAATGAAAGATCAATGAGGAATGAAAAAAATAAAGAATAAAGAACGTTGGTACCCTCCACTAATCATGCGCTAGTAGGAAATGTTTTAGGGGAAGATTGGTGGTACACAGTACCTGTGCAACATCATGGTGGGGTAACCTTGTCTTTCAGCCCTACCGCCGACGTCAACTCAACATCAAGCAACAGTGATCCAAGTCTTTCACTCCACTCCCTATCCATCCTATAGCATACCTGCGCCCTTGATTTCTCATTAAAACACACACTATCTCAACGACCTCATCTTTAGGAAAAAGTCATAGTCAAATCTATGCCAGAATGCGAGAGCTATTCCTTACTGCGTCTGTCAAGGACGCCGATTTTCAGATGGCATGCGCGATACTACAAGGTCTGACGTGGATGACGGCGCGGCAGTCCATTCACCGAATTCTATTCTTCCAGGGCCAACCACAGCCACGGCCTCTCAAGAACACTCGTGTCTTCCAGGCATCACGGCTCTTACCGCTCTGGAGGGAACTCAGCAATCAGTTGGCTCGGTCATCATACATCGTTCAGTTAGCGTACGAGATCGTCCCGGATAGGGATTTCCGAAAGGAAAATACCATGGAGTTTAATGCACTACCTGGCACCCTACGGTGGACAGACTTACCCGACCCTCAACGAGATACACCAATCACGACAAGAAAGAAGATAGAAATTCCAGACCATCCCCAGCTACCGACGGCAATGACCGACAATGGCCTCCAGTGAGAATAGTTCCCGCATTAGGTAAATAGGTTCCAGAAACGAAGCTAACCGATTATGCTAGTTATAAGAATGAGATGATACAAGAGAGCCGCTCATTTGTCAGGGATAACGTCGAGTTCGTTTTCAGCAGATACTACCACCTTACAGAATCAGCAGAAGGACCGCTGTCTATTCTGCCAGCTTTTGAAGATCTTCGACCGGTGGACCCAGCGCGGAAGTGGGTGTTGAATGTGAAGCTCAATGTTCTTGACGACAGCCAACCGGAAAAGGTTAAGAAGGCAATGGAGGAACTTTTAAATGTCAAAGCAGAGCTGGACAAGATATTTGACTTTCAGCCTATCGACCGACGAGTTTTTGACACAAGAATCGCGCCTCCGGTTCCTGGATAGGTTGACGATGAAAGAAGATTTCCGAGAACACAACGGAATCCGATACTACAGAGCTCAAAGCAGATATGTCACTTAGTCCTCCGCTCGGGAATCTAGTTAAGATGGATGGATGCCTACCTAGGTGGTAATTGAAAATATCGGCAGACGTGCAGTGTAGGAAAAGAGCAAATTTACTCAGTATTGTTCCTGGCTCGTGAGAAAGGACTTGGTGTGATCCACGACGACTTCCTAGACAAGCGCATAATTCGTGATTCGGCAGATGTATAGAATTAGCTCCCCGAGGCGATTGGTGCCATGTTTCTACGCCTTCCCAAGGTTGAAGGTTTACAGGTGGCCTAACCTTACGCTCTTTCCCTAATGAAGAACAAACACCATTCAGGAACGCGACGCGTTTAACCTTTAGGTTCAGGCCAGGGCAACACAACACCGCCGTTGCTATTTCCTGTTGTTTATAATCAACGCTTATTATTATTTCTTTCTTCTCTGTCTCCCCATCGCAGTTCTGATGCCCACGCCCACCAATTACAACTAAATTAGTGAGCTGAAATTTCAAAGGTGTACACGCCTTCACGGAACTTCATTCTTCATTTACCAGGTGGTCCATACACACCGACTTACATTCTCGGCGCCTTCCTTCGCTATCGTGAACGTTTCATTAGCCGCGCTCCATCGCCAATTCACCATTCCCCTCATTTTCGTGTAAGCAATCTTGCTTGTATCAACCGTGTCATCCCCATCCACTAAGCTCGTTGTCACGTCCAACTAACAGAAGTGACGTTGACTCTGCAAACTAACCTCACCAACTCATCTCATCGCCGTTGACACCGTCTCTCTCTTGTTGAGCCATATTGTTCTTGCCGACTTACACTTACATTAAACTCGCAGAATGCACACCGCCACCATGGCCTACTACGAAGAGGGTGATAAGAGTACTCGACCAGAGGGTTCTCGTAACTTTCCCCTGCACTTCCCTGGCCCCGGCGAGATGCGCCGCGCCTCTGAACTGTATGAAAGGACTGGCACACTCTGGAACGTTAGCTACTCCGACAAACGTCTGGAGAACAATCAGGATTCGCGATTCGGCGAGCCATATGAAGCTCCTGATTACAAAGAACCAGGTAAGCGATATATTCCAATTCTCTTCCAGTAATGTTAGGTTAAAGGGTACTAATGAGATTTAGCAGCCACCCGAGACTTCCCGGCTTACGGAAGCGCATGCCCCTGGCGCGAGACTACGTACCCTTTCGCACGAACCATGACTGCCGATACGCCTCAGCCCCCCAATCCGGAGGACGACAGCGAAGAGTCCATCTCTCCGAAAAAGCCTAAGGTTGTCCTCCCTCCTACCCAGACACAGCAACACTGCGGGGGTCAAACTCCTGTTGGGGTTCAGCGTCGACGAGATACCCGTCTTCCCAGCTACATACCTCAATCCCATGATCAAGGCAACCCTCACCCTTTCGACTTCCCTCCCTATTTGCCAACTCAGCCGCAGATCCCAGACCATCCCCAACCCACCCCTCCCGCTTTCCGTCCTCGGCCTTGGGACCGAAATGTCACAACGCCTCCGGGATTTCCATCTCG